AATGCTAAGTTTTCGCTATTATAAAGCCTCGTCACGTGACGCCACAACCTACATGGCGCGAGACAAAGACGCGCGCGGGACCTGAAATAGAACAAAAATTTTCCAAACTAAATATAAAAACTTAACCATGCCAAGAAATTGCCTCCGTTGAAATTCTGCAAATATCCCATAGAGCAAATTACATGGATGATTAATATTGACCATTTGGTATATGGCTGTGTTCTTAGCGACACGTACATGAAGGTCATAAATTAATTTGTTGAATGAAATCAAATCTTTAACTACTAATGGGTGCCGTAGGAGGTCTACCGGAATTTTTAGCTTAGATTTCTTGGCATGATTTTTTAGCAGAATTAAAATTAATTCTTTTTTCTCAGTTCTTGTATGTTTTATATTTCGGATTATTTTTTATCATGATCTTTAGTATTAGTGTGTTGCATTATACATCAACATATATGGGATAAAGAATAAAGATACCCCTTTTTCACAGGATGGAGCTGATACAAGGCGTGCAAAAGCATACGAAAAACTCGACGACTCGGCATAAATTCTTTTTAGTCTGGTCATGTATCAATATTGTTGTTGCTGTTAACAAATACCCGAAGTTTCCCTGCTCTGCAAAGAAAAAAATAAATAATACGTCATTTCTCATATACTCTTCATCGTACGTGTACTCATGTGTTAAACAAAATCATTGATCATGATGTATAAATAGCTTCAATTTATAACCATTATGTTTACATTCTTTAATAGACGAGCGGTTGACACGTTGAACTTGCAATAGAGGGGATATGGGTTCGAATCTTATACTCCCTCGGTTAGATTTTTATCAAGAATTTTTCACCTATTTTTAATGATAGTTTCATTAACAGTGATATTTTAAGGAAATGTTGATCAAAGTATTTAAAATTCCCACAATATGTGCATGACCATAATTACACATGCGTATGTATACATACAGGATATTGCACAACAAAGCCAGTACAGTTTAAATAGTTAAATTTTCCGTAATAGTTATATACCGAGGGATAGGTGTGTCTGGATAAGAAACCCCGTCGGCCGGAGGCCGGAGGGGTTTCTTATCCAGACACACCGTATCCCGAGTTGTATAACTAACTTACACCCCATTCTAAACCCTATATTTGTTAACATTGATTATTAAATGAAAAAAAAAAACGATAGCATAGTTATTGATAATTTCAAACCATGATTTATAAGAATATTTTTTTGTTACATGAAACCCCACTAGTAACCTTTCTTTGGTTATCTTTGTTCAAACTTTGTGAGTATATTTTACAAATGTCAAGTTGTTTTGCATATACCCGTTAAATCCGTGTGCTTATATGGATCAGCAGGTCAAGGTTGACCGTTTCGTGTATTCTTATTACAAACAAAAAATACATCATGCTCCTGGTATACAGTTGTCAATATGGACGGGTATAAGAAGGACGACATTTTGTGGCAAGCGTTGGATTTGGTAGAAGAGACTAAAGATAAAGGCAATATTATAACCCAAAGTACTTACCTGTATCAGTCTAATAAAGGTAATCATAACTGTATTTTATATCTTACGATTTTATCAAAATCAAAAGCCCCCCTCCCTTATCTCGAGAATAAACAAACATTAATATTCGAACATACTAAGGAATAGGTGTGTCTGCATTAGAAACCCGACTACAAGACACGCTCAACATACAATATTTAAAATTGAGGAACTCCCTTTTTTGAGGGACAATCAGGGGCTGATCCAGCCGGGGGTTCCCAACTCAAGAGAAAAAAATGGGGGGGGGGGGGGGTCCAACCATTCAAATGCATTTATCTTTTAAATAAAAGTCAGGTCCAACCCGCGGAACCCCCAACCCCGGATCGGCCACTGGGTAACCGGGGGAAGGGGGTCCGGGAGTTAGAATCCCAATTTTTTTTAAAAGATCAATGCTTTAGAATAGAGACATATGACTGGGATAAAAAAAATTACCTTCAAGCAAGAAAGTATTTAAAGGATTATTTTTGTATTCCATATAGATGCTTATTGGAATTTCCTAAAATGTGTTTTTTTAATATCATGAAACAATTTGTAGTGAACACTATTAGTAATTTCTTATGTTCATAATCAATTTCTATTGTTACGAATAACAATGGACTTTGTTTGCGGGATGTAGAAGCAGGGGTTTCCAGAAACCCCGCTCGTCACACCCTGTGGTCAAAATCCATTGTTATTCGTAACAATAAATCTATTCAATTTACACTTGTTTCAGAAATAGAAACTATGAAGTATAACAATAGGACTGGGGTGTAATATTAGATATCGGGTGAGCCGTAGCGTATAGTGGATATATAATGACTATATACATATAGCATTAACTTACTAATGAGCCTAAAGCATCTAGTTCTATCCTTGTCTGTTGAGCCTCGGCTCGGCAGCAGGGATATACCACTTCGCCAACTCGACACTCACTCTTTTTTATTTTATTATATCAAATGTATTATTCTTTTAGCTTAGTTTTTGTGGATAATTTTGGAAATGCATAGGAAATGAACCTTTTCATTCTTGTTTCCCCTATCGAAATAAATGTTGTGCGTGTTTCATTGAAATGTTATACTTAGTATATGGATCCTTCTGTAATAGAAGTGAAAATACCTTTTTTGGTCTTTTGGAAAATGTTGTTTGTGCTGTATTTAGACCCCTCTAACAAGAAATTTGTTTTGCATGCACACGTATAAAAATTGCGGTTTTTATCCAACGCAATCATAGGTTTGAACGTTGTTTTCAATTTAGACTTGTTTATATTTTTCGTTTGGGCTTGCATTATATTTGCCTTCGGGTTTATATGATCCGTTCATCCTATTTTGACTCCTCAAAATTCAAGAGTCTATCCTAAATTGAGGTAAATTGTATGGCTTTCCAAATACCGTTTCGATTCCTAACATCACTGAAGAGACATTAATTGTCGAAATCCGGATATGGTGTACAAAAACCTTTGCACCTTTTGTTTGCGGTATATCATCTTGTCCGCAAGTGTATTGTTTTCTGTTTAATATGAAATTTTTAATTAAGATCCATTTATTACATCGGTGATCCGTTTTTTTGGCAATCGCCAATGGCAGTCAGCAGGGTTAAAGAACATTTGTTGTTCGACCTGTTAGTCAAATGCGTGTTGTTAAAATATACTTTTTCACTTTTTTGGTCTTTTGGAAAATGTTGTTTGTGCTGTATTTAGACCCCTCTAACAAGAAATTTGTTTTGCATGCACACGTATAAAAATTGCGGTTTTTATCCAACGCAATCATAGGTTTGAACGTTGTTTTCAATTTAGAATTGTATATACTATCTTTCTATATAGTGAAAAGGAAGAGCACGACGACAAAAAATAAAGTGTCCTCCGTACAATTTTTTTTTATCACATTTTTTGGCAGAATTAAAATTAATTCTTTTTTCTCAGTTCTTGTATGTTTTATATTTCGGATTATTTTTTATAATGATCTTTAGTCCTAGTGTGTTGCATTATACATCATCATATATGGGATAAAGAATAAAGATACCCCTTTTTCACAGGATGGAGCTGATACAAGGCGTGCACTGTGAAAAGCATACGAAAAACTCGACGACTCGGCATTTATTCTTTTTAGTCTGGTCGTGTATCAATATTGTTGTAAGTTGCTGTTAACAAATACCTTTCCCTGCTCTGCAGAGAAAAAAATAAATAATACGACGGTCATTTCTCATATACTCTTCATCGTACGTGTACTCATGTTAAACAAAATCATTGATCATGATGTATAAATAGCCTCAATTTATAGGCATTAATATGTTTACATTCTTTAATAGACGAGCGGTTAACACGTTGGACTTGCAATAGAGGGGATATGGGTTCGAATCTTATACTCCCTCGGTTAGATTATCAAATGTATTATTCATGTTATACACGTATGTCGTTATAAAGTTGTACCGTACTACATCTGTTTACCCACAACTTTTGTATTTGTATTGATAGTGTACTTTCTCTGCAAACTTAATTGTATTTCGTTTTTAGAGAATAAGTATCTATCTACTATTATATTTTAAAAAATCAATCAAATGAGTCAAAAGTCAGCTATTTTACCAAAAAAACCCAAACAAAAAAAAATCCATTAACCATAAACATACGTTTTTCGTTAAATGTTTTGTACATAAATCATAAACTGAATTGTTTTGCATTTGTATTACAGGGTCTTTCATACCTTACTATGCGGTATATGGGTTTGCTATTTGTTGAAGACCGTGGGTGATTAACATGCAGCAAAGGTTCAGACTGCTGAATTATTTGAAAGTGTACCTCGTGCATAAAAGTTAAGTCTTCTTGCTAAGATTGCTAAGTGAATTATGAGCTAACTTAATCGTAATGTACACAGAAACTGCCATACAAAGTTTGTTACTCGTCCCAAGTAATAAAAAAACGAAAAAAAACTCTTTTAATAAAAAAATATATATATATGCTGTACGTGAACACCTTAGGAAATCAAACGAGTCAGTAAAGCAAGCTTCTAATGTATTTTTCTTTAAGTGTAAACAAAACAAATTCCAGGACAACCATTTTGAGTTGAGGACAGGTAAAGTATATGTATTTGAGCAAATCCGTTTTTTTTTCTTCAAGATTTATATATGTCATTATAATAACTGAGTATATTATCATTTAAGAGACCAGATTGTGCAAAGGTATATTTGGCTTGACTATTACACTTATATTAGTGTAATAGCCACAGATTAGTAAATGTTTCAAGTTGCATTTTAAAATACACTACATTTTAATGACTTGCATTTTTCCGTTGATCACACTTTGCAATTTGTTTTACAGCACATGCACTCTTGAACTATTATACTATCAATATATTATGTCCCAGTTGCACTTGATGACACAGCATCAGCGTGATGGAATTTTCCTTTGCTGATTATGAACAGTTAAATCCCTGCACAACTGAATTAAATACGGAAATGATTTGCATCCATTCCGATATTGGGATACTGATGACAATTATCTCCCTTTGTAAACAAATGAAACTTGTGTAAACACGAATTTGATGCTTTAAAAAATAGGAGACCAAATGTAAGAATTATAATTTTGTTCATTTGAAGAAGTTAAAAGAACAAAATTCGTCTTTTATTCTAATTCACAAGAGTTGGACAATCTTGTGTAATCAAAATATCAAAGTAAACCGTAAAGTTCCTCTGCCCTGGCTCTGCTAGTGCTACATAACAACTGTTATATGATAATGACTCATGGGGTATTTGACTGTTCAAGTGTTAATCTTGAATCCCATATTATAAAGCATATGCCGATGATGTCATTCAATGTAGCAGTAGCAATGTGTTAATCCAGATGGGGATCCACATGAACCTTAACCTCAGCATGCTCAGGAAAAAGATACAACCAAACAAGGATTTGTATAGTGAGAAGGCCTTCTCACTATACAAATCCTTGAACCAAATAATAATAATGTTCCGGACCATGTGTGATATGAGTATTATACTTAATTGGTTATTAATGGGTCGGACCATATCTTGCCTCCTCTAGAATCAATACACCTTATCGCTATTTGTCCGCCATTACTGGACATCACACAGGTTCCCGTAAAATTTTGACGTCATAATAGAAAATGTCTGACGCCACAATGGAAAAGTGATTGTTGTATGACGTCAAAAGTTCGAGCGGGACAGATTCTTGGGTCAAGCGGGAATAGCGATAAGGTGTATTAACCCTCTTGCTGCCGAGTTTTTTTCTTGCTTTGTCGCTCCAAAAGCATCTTGACGTTTCATATCTGTGACGTTGCAAAACTTGTGCCTCTCTGTAGAACAGCGTTTTCCCGCGTCAATGTAGCCGTAATTATGAAAAGCGATGTAAAAGTAATTTTATGAAAACTATTGCTATAAGATTGTTATAAACAATGTTTTTAATACAATATTATTTAAAAATACAACTTTTAACCTTGAAATAAAGTTTTTTTTATCTTTCTTGTCTTCGAAAAAATGAAAATTATATACCCATTGCTACTAGCTTTATAAGCGCTTTTGTTTTATCTTTGTCAAGTGAAATGCATAACTGATTCTTAACCACCTCTAAAATACTAAAATATATTTATCCTTGTTATCCGATTAGCTTAGTAAACTTTCTTATAATTGATAAATACCGTAAAAAAAATCTCTCAAATAATTATATAAACAAAACAACGGCCCCTAATAAAAATAAAAATAAAAACAATGAGTGTACAAATAAAAATAAATAAAAACTAGAGCAGCCGATTCTATGAACTACTTCTTGTTGTAAAGTATCAAACGTGTCAGATTAAAATTTTCATTCCAAGCCTTGTTTCAGTAGGCGAGAAAATAATGTTTATAGACGTTATTATCCATATTCATTTTTTTTATTTTTTAATCATGTTTATTATTATTTTGTTGACCACTTATTGCTCAAAATTTTAGAGAAATGTTTTAAAATACGAATTTAAAAAAAAACAGAAAAGCGAGGGAAGAAATTCTCTAAAATTAATTTCTATTGTCTACAAGTGAACCTGAATCAATAATGATTCATTTTCATTTTCTATGATGAAGTACACACTGTAATTGGCATACACGAAATATCTTTTAAAATCTGTTGATTGATAAACTGTTCTCTTCTCAACGTTCAGTGGCAAGTATTTCATGCAATATTCAGGACGTCTGAAATTTAATGTACAATAAATCTGTTGCTCAGTGGGTCCTACAAAGTAAAAGATCTGTGATGAATGGCTGAAAGTTGAGGTTGCCACTGGAAAAGGATGATATGTAGGATAGGAAAAGAAATCATTGGGTCACCTACTAATTTAACATCCCCATTTCGAATGAAAATAAAAAGTTTTAGATTAGTGCTTCAATGATGAAACGGGTATAAAATGTATTGAAATATCGTATGGGAATACAAGTATATAGGGTAACATTTGTGTACTTTTACAAAAAAAAATCTTCACTGAGAATTCAATCGCGGCATTTGAGCCCTAAAGAAATTTTCCAGTTTTAAATAAAGCGTGTATTGTGAATATTAATATTTCGCGTAATCAAGTATAACAGTTACCTTTTCTATGATTATTTATTAGGAATGGGATTATTATATGATATATTCTGACTGGAAGATGTATGAAAAAAAACTTTTAACAAATTTCTCGAAAGTATGCAACATTTTACATGAAAATGATGAACTAGATAATTAGTAAACACGTTAAATAAGTTGGCATTATAGTACTAACAAGCTTATGATCCTGTATCATTTTTTGACATCCGTTTTAAGTATACAAATAATGCATTTTATTCAGTTTGCTTCATTCCCGCCAAAATCGTCCTTTTGGCGCCGTCTTTTGACGTTGTCAGTGCCCCTCAGTATTGTGATGTTACCATGGACCTTTGACGTTCTACACAATCAACAAGATTTGTTTGTAGAAGCCATAAATGTCCCTTTGGCAGCAAGAGGGTTAAGAGTGTTTTATATCTTGTCGACATTTTCGTCTGCAAATGAAACCACATGATTGTGTTTTTGGCATGGACCTTTTTTTCTCTTTTCTTAGTGTTTAAGTTTATTATAAATTCAGAAACAAAATTTCTTCTCATCTGAACTTATTTTCATTTATTTATTGTGTTCTTTCAATAATGACCATGTAAAATGATTTTACTATATTTCTTACTTGTAAGAAAATTCATTTTATTTCACAATAATTACAATATGATTGAATAATTATAAATTTCATTTTTAGAACTTCTTAATTTATGCGACACCTTTTCAACGTTCATTGTTAATTAACCGGACTATATGAGTATACAGGTATACGCATATAGTCATGACCATAAGCGTATGGTCCAAATACTCATATACATGTAGTCTGGAACAATAATAATATTTATTCAGGTAAAGGCAATATATACAAATACATAATATAAAGTTTTAGAAACTAAGCTAAATACAACCTTAAAATATATAATGGTTGTGACTTTAGGTACATACCTCTAATTGATTGATTGATTGTTGGTGTTTTAACGCCAATTGTAAGCGCCACATTTGGGCTATTTCGTGGCGGCCAGTTTTTATTGGTGGAGGAAGCTGGAGTGCCCGGAGAAAACCACTGACCTTCAATAGGAAAACTGACAATCCTAGTCAATTAAGATTGGAGTCGAGTGCACCCACACTAGCGGGGTTCGAACTCACAACCTCAGTGTTGACTGGCTAGTGATTACAGTAGTAACTACTTAGACCACTCGGCCATCGAGGCCCCCCCCCCCCCCCCCCCCCCCCCCCCCCAATACCTCTAATGGTAATGGAGTAATTTGCATACAGATATATATATATCAGATACCAGTTCTTATTATTGCGATATTCACTTAGTCACATTATTCACAATAATAAAAACATCCCAATAATTTATGAATTTATAGTTACTAAATGATTCCATACAACCTAAATTCAAGAAGGGCACATGGTTTATGCAATTTGTATTCTATTGCTTCAATCATTTGCTACATTTTCCAACACTGCATTGACTTCCATACAATCAGGAAAATTTCTGTGTTGACTAGGCCCACAAGATATTCATGAAACTATCAAAGGTGTGGATGGAGGCTACTTTAGATTATTTTTTTTAAGCAGAAAAACATACAAACCAGCCAAGACAAAATGAATATTATAGAATAAATAGGGGGGCTCACATGTAGTTGCACAGTCACAACAGGAATTAAAATGGCCATTTCATGATGAAAAAAAGATAGCTTTTACACATTGGTTTTTATCATATTTGCAGGTATCATGAGCTTCAAGCACAAAAACATGTGATATGAAAATTTGCAATCACTTTGCACAAATATAACCCTTTACCACCCCTTAAAGATTTCGCTTGAAATTGTCATAAATCACTCTTCAAAGCCTGTTTCCTACTTGAGCCAAAATTCTACGTCATTTAATCTTTGGTGGAAAGATCTAAAGATTCTTAATCATGTAATTATATATAAATTGATGGCAAGGTGTCTCGCAATCATACTGGATCCTCTTATTGTCGAGCCTGCTCCATTTATGTTGCGAAAGCGAGACATAGCGATCATAGGTTCTGTCCACGGCATCAACATTTAGGTTCAGTCTGTGGTTAATTAAAGTCTTTTTAGACATCAAAAACTTTATCAAACCTTCATGGAATTTTATGAAATTTGGACAGAAGCTTGGTTATGACCAAAATGCATTAACCAGAGCAAAATTTTGAAAATTTAATTTCATTTTCTGTATTTTGCTGATAAGTGGGTTGGTTTTTTTTTTACAGTTAACATTCAGATTCAGTCTGAGGTTAAAGTTTTTCAGTCATCAATAACTTTGTCAAACTTTTCTTGGAATTTTATGAAATTTGTACAGAAGCTGGTTTAAGCATATATAACCAAAGGATAATATCCACAGCAAAATTTTGAAAATATTTATTTTCATTTTTCATATTTTACTGATAAATGGAGACTTAGTTTTTGGGTAAACATGGTAAAGATTGCATGAAATGCAATCAAAATCCTATGGTAGTGACTTGATATCTAAATCTTCCACAGTTTATCACTACTTTTGAGATACACAAAATATAGTGCATTGATCATAAAATTCTTAACTTCCTATCCATGGACATTTCCAGAAATGAATCAATGAAATATATGCTCAGATGTTCAAGTTACAAAATGATGTTATACTTGTCAAGAAAATTACATAACTTGTGCAAGGTACAGCAATATAATATCTGTTCTAAAATATCAATGATGTTATTGTTAAAGTATTCTTTAAAATTGGAGTTATCTTCCTTTGTCTGTAATTGTAGTTGAATGAACTACAACCAATGCTTTATACAATGCAATGTTTAATTTTACCCCAGACTGATTAATTAAAACAATCTTTACCCTTCAGTGCTTACAAGCACTTTGATTTTACAATTAACAAGTAGATACAGTCTGGGTTTGAAGTTTGTTACACATCAATTGCTTTGTCAAAGCTTCATAGAATTTTATGAAACTTAAATGGCAGAAGCTTTTTTTGGATTTTTTGATATTATAAGTTTGTTAACCTTCATTGATTGTTATGAAACTTGGTCGGAAGCTAATCTTCAAAACCAAGAAATAGCATCCAGAAGTAAGAGATTATGTCTGAAGCAAACTTTTGAAAATATTTTTTTTTTCATTTTCAGTATTTTTCTGATAGATGAATTGTTTTGACATGATAAATTTGTAAACTTTCATGGATTGTTATGAAAGTTGGACAGAAGCTAATCTTCAAGACCAAGAAAAACTATCTCAAGAAAAAATTTGATTTTTTTTTTAAATTCTATTTTTTACTATTACACTTTTACACTGACATCAGCAATCCCAGGCGAGACACAGGGTCCGTAGAACCCCTTCTGAATTTTGTTTATATTTTCAAGAAGACTTTTGATAACGGTCAGTCACTTCACCCATATGACTGATCATAATAATATGAAATTAAAGTATGTTGATTATAAGATAATCTTTTTTTTTTTTTATCTTTTCAGGGGTGATAATCCATATTAATGATAAACCATATGGATACCTGTAACCCTTTCAAACTCTACTTAAAAGATTTCCAAAATGGAATGCAACATCTCCGAGAAGATAATTTGTTCCAAGATGTTGTCCTTGATGTCCAAGGTCAAACCTTTCCTTGTCACAGAGTTATCCTGAGTGCATTTTCAAACTATTTCCGTGGAATGTTTGTATCTGGAATGGTGGAAAGCAATAAAAACATAATTGAGTTGAAGGGTTTGGAGGCTAAATGTATATCAAAGGTATTAGACTATCTTTATGGTAACATTACCATAGATCCGATAGCTGCAGAGGACATTTTAGCAATAGCCGTATATCTACAGATTGACTGTTTAAGAGAAACGTGCGAGTTGACTTTAGGAAGTAACTTAGATAATTCCAATGTTATACGACTGTGGAACATGTCATCGAAAGAATACCCAGAATGCACTATTCTTAGAAATTTTTGTGAGGTTTATATGCTTTCAAACTTTACAGATTTTTCAAACTCATCTGAAGCATTGCATTTAGAACCAAATGAGGTCATATTTCTGTTACAACATGAAGAATTGTGTGCTCCAACTGAGGATGTGGTTTGTGAGTTTTTAATGCATTGGTTTCAACATGATTTGGAGAACAGAAAATGTTATTTGGAAGATTTATTCAAATGCAGTCACTTTCCTCTTCTTTCTGGTGACTGCTTAACGAGATTCATAGAACATTTCCCGTTGATGCGAGAAGACTGTTTACAGCCCTTTGTGCAGGATGCTATTGTTTATCAAAGCAATCCAGCCGTTCAGCTGGATAATTTAACTGCCTCCATGGATTTCCGTTTAAGATCCAGTAGAGAAACATCTATAGTTGTTATAAGCTTTGCACAAAATGTTAGTGATGCTGGATTGCACATCGAAATGTGGCGTTATGGATTGCATGAAAAACAATGGGAGAAAATGACTTCCCTTCCATCTTACCCTGGGATAGGTTTTTCTACATGTACTTATGGTGAATCAACCATTTTTCTCTCAGGTGGCAGTACAGCAAGCACGTTCTTTAAGTTTGATGGCTTAGAAAATAGGTGGGAACAAATGGAAAATTTACCCGAAACCCGATGTAGACATTGCATGATAGGACTGGATGACTATATATATATCTTAGGTGGGACTACAAGTAGAAGAACAAATGCTATCGAAAGATTCTGCTTAGATTTGAACACTTGGGAAAGATGCGGTGAACTCCAAATGGCTGTTGATGACTCATCTGTTGCTACAGCTCATGACAAAATCTACGTTTTCGGCGGATTTTCTCCCGACTTTGATATTTTAAAAATGGTACAGTGCTATGACACGGTCACTAAAACAACAACAATTGTCAGTGTAGTTCCAAACATGTATGATCTAATAGATGCTGTTGGTACAAATGACAATATCTATATCATAGGACGGCAAAGTGGGAAAGTAATGAAGTTTATTGTAGACAATGATTTTGAACCGGTTCGAGTTATACCGAAGTTGCAGGATTCGTATGGAATAATCAAACACGGTGATTCTCTCTTCCTTCTTATCAATGACAGCGAGGAAAGTGATGACATTGAAGACCGTTCTATTACCTCAGTTGTTGAGGTTAATCTGAAAACCGGAGAGAAAATAGTGGATCATAACCCACTTTTAAATACAAAATTTGATTGCCATTGTCATAAATTAGTAACTTCCAAAAAAACTTACAATTTTAAATATAGAATATGATTAACTACATGTAGATCACATTATAAACATGATAATAAATTTTATTTTGCCATGTTTGTTTTAAACCTCTAAAAGTACTGTGGATTCTTTATTATTCGTGGGATATCAATTTTCATTGATTTCGTGGGCTTAGGTGAACCACGAATTTAAATGTTCAACGAAGAAGGAATTCTTTATTGGCTTGTATGCAGCAATTTGCAAAACCATGAAATCAAATATCCATGAAAATAGGATATTTCCCCCAATCCACGAAAATTGATACCCACGAAAATAAATGAATCCACAGTATAAGAAATAGAATAGTGGACAGATATGGTAACATTCAATGGTGTATTGATTCATGATACACAATCCAAATACACACTTGATCATGACATACCCAAATACAAAGGAGCAGGGCTGTAATTGCTGTTCTTCATGTCGAAGTCACAAGTCACCTGTCTGTACATACATAACTCTGAAGGTCACTAATAAAATTGAGAATGGAAATGGGGAATGTGTCAGAGAGACAACAACCCGACCATAGAGCAGGCAACAGCCGAAGGCTACCAATGGGTCTTCAATGCAGCGAGAAACTCCCGCACCCGGAGCATGTTAAGTAATCAACAGATTAAAATTGAAATATTATTTATTTGGTATACATGGTATAGACCTTTCTTAAAGAACCAGGTATTATGGCACTAATCTTGGCAAACATCCATCATGTTCCATATATATGTCAAACTGTTTTAAACTAGCTGAAATGGTGCAAGTTTGGAGAAATTATAATTAAGATGTATATGTCTGGGTTATGGATGGAAATCTGATTAGTTCATTAGATTTTAAAGAAATACATATTAAATGACATGTATGAACAGGCAGGACATGAACCCCTGGGAACAAACCTGCATTAATTTCGACCTATATATGGTGCACTGAATATGCTGAAAGGTCTCTTGTAGTGAATATTAAATATACTTTTGTATATATGGTCACCGTTTAGGGGTCTGGAACTGAGCACTGCCAGATATTCAACGATTTAGTATACAATGTACATATGTGAGGGGCTGGGGCATGACAATACCATATGTGTTTAAGCTGAGAAAGTTTTAACATAGCAATCAATGTATAGGGATTGGGATCTAAATACTTTTCAGTAGATATTAAACAATTTATTGTACAATGTTATACATGTTATATGGGCACAATGTTATATGAGGAGATACTCCCCTCAGGAACAAAACCTATGATGAAACAGAGATGTCATGCCATGGCAATTAAGAATAGACATGTATGTGGTTTAAGGGTTGGATCTAAATCATTTTCCAATTATTTCATGATTTATATGACATGAGGGGGAAAGGCATGACACACCAATGTTGAAATGTAGTGCAATAGAAAGGTCTAATTAAATTATGGCAATGAAGAATAGTTAAGGGCTGAGAATGTTAACCTGTTGCAATATTAAAATATTTACAACTAGATATCATTGAGATGGGAGCCATCTCTGTGGGCCCCGCTGTGAATAATGTGTGGTAAAAAATTTGTATCTTTATCATTGGACATGGAGTTGTCAAATGAAACCAAAGTTTTTGACCTTGACCTTTGACCTAGGAAGTTGTACATAAATTATGACACACCCTCTGGCGTTGGTTTATATACATATCAAGAATAAACTTTGAAATCATAACGGTTCTCAAGATATAGAGCGGACACTATCTTTACCATAGGACATGGGGTTGTCAACTTAAACCAAAGTTTTTGACCTTGACCTTTGACCTAGGAAGTTGTACATACATTATGACACACCCTCTGGTGTTGGTTAATATACATGTCAAGTATAAACTTTGAAATCATAACGGTTCTCTAGATATAGAGCGGACACGATTTGTAACGGATGGACGGACAGATGGACAGACAGACGGACAGAAAGACAAACAGACAGACTGATCACTATAGGGCGGCCGCCATTCGGCGGGGCCCTAATAATCAGGGTATTGTGCAGTTAAGAATATATATGGGGCTGGGAGTTGAACAGTTTCTTTGAAATTTATATTATTGACCATTTATTATATGAGTGCCCTCACTTGTTTAGGGACAAAATTTAAAAGTGTGCTTGAAAGATCTTGACATGACAAATATAATATAACAGGTATATGGTTTGGGATCGATGAACTTGAAAATGTCTCCTAAATATCTTTATTTAACATAAATATCAGAGGTCAAGGTCATAAGTAATTTGTGATTGAACAGGACAGGTTGTCTTGAGGTTATTCACACCCTGCCAAATATCAAAAGCCTTTGTCAAAGGATAAAAGTGAGACTAAGACAAACAAGAGTGCACACGCTGAAATGTCTGTCCTGTTTAATTGACCATTGATTTTATGTTGAAAGTCTTAAAGATAAAGGTTTTACTACAAGTATCACACAAACTTAACATTTTTAAAGATCCATGACAATGAGGTCAAGGTCAGGTAAAAACTGTCGCACAGACATGTACACCTTACAATTATTCCATACACCAAATATAGTTGATCCATTGTTGATGATAATTGAAAAAACCAGACCAAAACACAAAAACTTAATGTTAACCAATGAACCATGTAAATGAGGTCAAGGTCAGATGATACTGGTAAGACAGACATGTACACCTTACAATCATTCCATACACCAATTATAGTTGACCTATTGCTATTAGTATTTGAAAAACAGACCAAAACACAATAAAATGCTCCACTGGGCGCAGCTTGAAACGACCGCAGAGGTCGAACCCTGAACAGTTGGGGCAAGTATGGACACAACATTCAAGCTTGATACAGCACTGAATTTGGATTGTGATTAAATATTTGACACAGCATAGGTTTCTGACACAGAATGAATGTGATCTAAGAACTTAAAAATTTTAAATTTACCTATTCAAACCATATCATTATTATTTGCTTTTATATATAAATCAGAAATAACCAATTTAAAATGGAAAATTTAAAAAAAAAAGGAAAAAAAGGAAAAAAAAATCCCTCCCCCAAATTTTTTGAACCCCCTTATGATTCATCCCCCCAAACTCAATCCCAGCCTTCCCTTTGTGGTATGGTACCTTGCAGTACAATTTCAGAGAGATCCATACACTTGAACACAAGTTATTGTTTTGAAACTAGAAAAATGGTTATTTTTGGCCTCTTTTTGGCCCCAAATTCCTAAACATTTAGGGCAATTACCCCCAAACTCAAACCCAGCTTTCCCTTTGTGATATGGAACCTTGTAGTACAATTTCATAAAGATCCATACACTTACACACAAGTTATTGTCCTGGAATTAAAAATGCTTGTTTTTTGCCCCTTTTTGGCCCCTTATTCCTAAAATTTTGAGGCAATTACCCCCAAAATCAATCCCAGCCTTCCCTTTGTGGTATGGTACCTTGCAGTACAATTTCAGAGAGATCCATACACTTGAACACAAGTTATTGTTTTGAAACTAGAAAAATGGTTATTTTTGGCCTCTTTTTGGCCCCTTATTCCTAAACGTTTTGGGCAATTACCCCAAAACTCAATTCAAGCTTTCCCTTTGTGATATGGAACCTTGTAGTACAATTTCAGAAAGATCCGTACACTTACACACAAGTTATTGTCATGAAACTAGAAAAATGCTTGTTTTTTTGCCCCTAATTCCTAAAATTTTGAGGCATTTACCCCCAAAATCAATCCCAGCATTCCCTTTGTGATATGGAACCTTGTGGTACAATGTCAGAGAGATCCATACACTAACACACAAGTTATGTCTGGAAGTTACAAAAATGCTTATTTTCGGCCCCTTTTGGGCCACTTATTCCTTGACTGTTGGTACCATAACCCCCAAAATCAATCCCAACCTTCCTTTTGTGGTATTGAACCTTATGGTAAAATTTCATAGAGATCCATTCACTTAAACTAAAGTTAGAGTGCGAAAACTAATGTGTCTTCAAACGACGACGACGCCAACGTCATACCAATATACGACCACAAAAATTTATTTGAGGTCGTATAAAAACTTAACATTGAGCAATGAACCATTAAAATGAGGTCAAGGTCAGATGACACCAGCTAGACAGACATGTACACCTTACAATCATTCCACACACCAAATATACTAGACCTATTGCTTACAGTACTTGTTAAACAAACCAAAACACAAAAAATTAACAATGACCAATGAACCATGAAAATGAGGTCAAGGTCAGATAAAACCTGCCAGTCTGACATGTACTCCTTACAATCATTCCATACACCACATATAGTTGACCTGCTGCTTGTAGTATCTGAGAAACGGACCTAATCACATAACTTTAACCTTGATCACTGATCAATGAATTGAGGTCCAGGTCAGGTTAACCCTGTCTGACGGACATGTAGACGTTGCATGGAATACATATACCAAATTAAGTTATCCTAGTACTCATAATAAGTGAGAAATTCAATGACAAAAAAACTTCATTGCTGAGGTCTTTCCATTCCACATGATCTGTGTGCAGTGCTCACAACTTACTAGAACTTCCAACAGTCGTACAAATGCAACACAAAAAATGATTTTATAAGGGAAATCCCAAAAATCATTAAGATTAACAGAGCTATAAGGTACTTCGATACTTTTGATTATGTCCTAAAATTCAGTTAGCTCATTAAGGAGAAGTTTAAAACATTAGGGGTGTATAATACTATTGTTTAGCTTAGCAGGAGTACTTATCATTTAGAAAAATAACCAAAAGACACAATATAACATTCTTCTATGATTTATTTATAAAACTTGTAGACTGAAACAAATTATGCAAAAGCAGAAATATATTACAATGCATCATTAAAATGTATAAATAAAAGAACTGTAAAATATATATATAAACTTATTTATTTTTAAACGACATATTAATAGAAAAGATCATAGGAAATGGATTCAGGAAGCACATGTTGCCGAACCAATTAAAAGATGAACTCAAGAACACCTTTGCAAATTCTTTTTTGATAATTTTTATTTAAGTCCTCATTATGAACATCTACCTAAAAATATTAAAGGGTTTCTACATAAGAGAAGAAGAAAGGCTTCATA